CTTGCATCTACACCCAGATACAGTCCAAATAACTCAGGAGTTGAGACCTCGAGATCATCAACAGCGCCGCGTGTTTGCAGAACGGGTACGAGAACAAGGGGTTCATTTTTCAACGAAAATCATCTTTAGCGATAAAGCACATTTTCAGAGAAATTGTTCAAAAATCAATGCATCGTCAAAAAGTGACTGTTTGGTGCGGAGGAATAATTGGCCCTGTTACCGTTAATGGTGTTCGCTATCGAAACATGATATCTGATTTTTTCTGGGAGCAGTTGGAAGGTATGGACATTGAAGATTTGTGGTTCCAACAGGATAGAGCCACTTATCACACATCCAGAGAAAGGATGCAATTGCTGTCGGGCAAGTTTCCTGGTCGGATTATCTCACGTAACGGCGATATAAATTGGCCGCCGCGATCATGTGATCTTACTCCCCTAGATTTTTTTTGGGGTATCTAAAAAGCAGAGTGGATAGAAATAAACCAAACACTATTCCAGAGCTGAAACAGGAGGTGAGACGCGAAATAGCCGGCATAGAACCTGAATTGTATCAAAAAGTGATAGGAAATTTCAATAAATGACTTACGTCATGCCGCATGAGTCGCGGGGTTCATTTGAATGGCATCATCTTTCATACCTAATTGTAATACACTAATCTAAAATGGCAAATAAAAATGTTTGTATATTTTTATATTCTTCTTCTTCTTTTTTTTATTATTTTAATGTGGAAACCCTTATTAAATCACCCTTTAGTTTCCGAGATCCCAATGGAATCTTAGTATTCTCTTGATGGATTAGCTTATTTCACAAGTTGAACAACGTGTTTTAGAAAACTATATGACTATTAAGACACAAGTCCTCCCATCTCCGAAATAGCCAGTGCCAAAAAACTTCTAAAATATATACTCAAAATCTCAAATCACCAGTGGCGAGAATATCTGATTTACCTTTTTTCTTTTGATTAAATATTGTTGTATATTTGGATAGGTTCACTTCATTAACGATTTTATTGTTTTGATGTTGGTCGCCAATCTAACACGACTTGAGCATCCATTATATGACGTCATTTATAAAATCCATAGTTTGAGAATTGCCGCCGTCTCTGTGTTTAGGGCCAATATACCAGCGGTTTACGTTTTATTGTATCGGAAAGAATTGTACAAAAAACAAAACGAATCGGAAATCAAGGTCGAAACTGGGAGCTGGTTCAGTTGGAAGCTTTTAATGACCGCCGGTTTCAGCACGTGGGCTTGCAGGTAGTAACGCGCGAAGGTTGAATGTAGAGACGACCTTTGGCCAGCAAAATTTTACTTCTTTCGTTTTGTGCGGCCTAATGTCGCACGCTAACCATTACCGTTGCCCGGTAGGTTTTCTTTTCAATAAATACCGAGTCACGCTCCGAAACAATAAGGCTTTGGTGCTTATTTATGGAGTCCAGGCACACGCAATACGTACATTCTTGATGTTTATAATAATTATTTATATTCAGTCTGACAAGATTTAAATGTGTGTGCGCGCAGTGTTCACGTTGACTGCTGTTTTATTTAATCGAGGACTATTTTTACGATGAAAGATAAGGAACACATAAAAAATATAAAGATTAAACATTTTTTGTGATACAGTTTTGGAAGACGTTTGGAAGACGTTTGATAGTTGTTCTTCAATGTAATTGATTTTTGTAGGTATCCCAGATAATACCAATCTAGATGTTTTAACGAGATTTGGTATATGGTCTATCCATAGATATAAGAAAGTAACCAATTGCTTTTGAATGGGATTATCCAAAATTTCGGAATTTAAATTCAGGTAAAATTGTGGTCCGTAATAGAAAGTAATTTTATACCTACCCGTGTTTAATATTCTTTGATAGTTTCAGATTATTAGTAATCATTCTTATTTCGTGTGTAATACAGCGTGTGTTGAATCGTGTGCGAATTATGCAAAATATGTGCGAGTCTAGTGTATCTCAGGAGATGCTCCCGCCCAAATGTAGAAAACACTATTCTATTGAGACTAAGGAAGTTATAAACAATATTTATTTGACTCTCATTGAAAGTGGTGCCAGCAAGCAAGCATCTTTAGAAGAAACGGCCACATTGACGAAAATTCCAACATCAACTGTATGGAAAATTGTGAATAATCCCATTACAGCGATGAAAAAAAGAAGCGATGCTGGCATTTTCTCGAGTGTAGATGAAAGTGATCAAGATATAATACGGCATAAAATTTACCAGTTATACGAGGACCAAAGCGTGCCTACATTAGATACCTTAATTAGGAGGTTTGAAAAAGATGAAACCGGTGTTAAATGTGGCAGAACTACCTTATGGAAGTGTATCCAACACATGGGTTTTAGAAAATTGACAAAAGGCAAAGTTTAATGGAATCTTTTAGAATTCGGAAATGGCGACTGGAATATCTAGAAAAAATTAGGATTTGCAGAGAACAACAAAGGCCAATTATTTACTTGGATGAAACTTGGTTCGACACTTATGATACCCCGGAAAAGAGTTGGGTTGACTCAACTGATAAGTGTAAAACAAACGCGCCATCAAAAAGAGGTAAAAGAATAACTATTTTGCATGCTGGCTCTAAAGATGGTTGGATTCCAAATTTACTTTCTTTGACTGTGAAAAATATTAAAGATTCTTCTCTGTTCCAAACATTTCTCCTGATAGCGTCATTGTAATGGATAATGCAAGTTACCACAGTAGACAGTTGACTAAAACCCCTTCTTCATGTGACACAAACGCAAAAATCCAAAACTACATGTATAATAACGACATTTATTTTCACGAAGATTATACCAAAAAGCAATTAATTGAGGTTCTACAAAGCTTGAACCTACAAAAGGAATACGTCTGTGATAATTATGCAAAAAATCTAGGGCATACAGTTTTAAGGCTTCCACCTTACCACTGTATATTTAATCCTATTGAACATGTTTGGCACCAACTGAAATTTGCCATTTGTCGTAACAATGTTTTTCCCCGTGTTAACTCCAATGTCCTCAAACTTATAGAAACCGAAGTTTTTAAGATCCCTCCACAAACTTGGGCAAATTCTTTTAAACATATAGAAAAGGCAGAACAATAGTATATCCGTATTGCAAATAATATAGAACAAATAATAATTAGAACAGGCGATGATAGCGATAGTGATACTGTTATATTATTTGAATAATTTTAAGTACTTTAAGTAGGTAATAAAAATAATTTGTAATTTTATTTTATATTTAAACATAAATACATACATAAATAAATAAATATTGTTTAGTATCGTTTCTAACAAAACCCCAAATAATTAAATTCTGAGCAAAGTACGGACCTGTTCGGCCATATTTCATTTTTACAGCTTGCGCGGGTCTTTTCTTAATTCGTATCAGTTAGTCACTTTCTTATATCTATGAACAGACTTTACCTACAAATACTACCCATCAAGAATCGCTTTTTGATTTATTTTAGTTTATACCACTTCATGTAGAATGTGATCTGCATATTTTGGCAGGCGTTGACGACACGCCATTTATATTAGAATATTGTTTTTAATCGTATTCGTTTCGAAGCAGATTTGACCAACAACAACAATTTATTTCAAACCTGTGCACCGTTTCTTTAATATTTACTGTTTCAGTCATGAAAAAAAACATTATCATCATCCATCCAATCATCTCAAAAGTTTAGACGTTTTTGCTTAACTTAAACTTCAAGTAGGTGTTTCAAAAAATTGTACCTAAATTTTCGTTTCATTAAATAATAGGACATTTGCAATATCAAATGTCCTATGCGTTTCAAATGGTAAGCAAATGCAGCAACATTGTGACGACCTGTATAACTACTCAAAAGGCATTATGCAAATCGGTACACCGCCCGTGGCACTGAAAAATAAATTGTGAAACACCTGTCTAGGTACTTTTCGTTTTTTATTCTACTCCCACCGGATGAGACTGCGTGCATGAAAGCGGCGATATACAGTTGAAAAACTGCAATTAGCTTCCATTATCTCGGCGTCATTAGGCAAAGCTCCCGACGGGAGGTGGTGTTAATGAACTAATGCAATGCGGAACCGGGATTTTTTTTTATTGTTAGACGTAGTCCCCTTGGAGTTTGGGCATGTGAATCACACCTGGAGGCTTCTCAAGACTTCAACATATATAGTTCAAAATAGGTACTTGAATGAATGAAACATTACTTGCAATTTTAAATATTGTTAAAGGTACCTAATTCTGGAAACACCCTGTTTATTCTAAATGAATACGAAAGACCTATTTAAAGTTTCATGTTTTTAGCTAGATTGTTTTGGCCGATTTTGTACCATAGAAATTGCAACACCCAGCATATATTTGATAAACTGCATGAAATGCAATTTCTGTCGCACCCGACAGTTCAAGATAACATTATGTTTAATAAGCATGTTCAGAATTTTTCGTACAATCTATCTATAAATGTACTACTTTGGTCTCTCGTTCGTCATTTTTGTCAATATCTTAAAATTTTAATAATAGAAATCGTAAACTCCTACGGCGGCAACCCAATTTTTAAGAATTCCCGTATTTCTATTCTAGCTTCTTATGGCCAGGGCGCTGCATTCAAACTTTTCGATCCATTATGCTCACATGCTTTTCCTAGATGAGCCCTGTACTCTCGACGAAGTATAGCCCTTCTTTCATGGGAGTCTGGATGGTTCTTCGGGCCTTTTTATTTCGGGGAATTCAGCAGAAATAATTGATAGAATATGAGCAAGTCATGTGTACATTTTAAATACATTCTAGAGCTATAAAAATTATTTTCAAAAAGTGTAAAATGGTTGGAATGTACATTTTGTTTAGATTTTCGCCCTCCTGACAAATTCACCATTTCAATTTTTCAAAAAACCATCATCTCATCGGAGGAAAGTTCTCCAGCTCCATAATAGGTATTCTGCCTGGTATAATTGAGGTGTATGTTTGTATAATACTGCTAATGTTGACCAATTTTACATCTGTCTTTTTTTTTGTTCCAGGAACGGGGATGGGACTACAAGCAAATCTGCGTCACTCGCGTTCCCGGTTATGGGTTTGGCATCGCCGTGTCAGGCGGCAGAGACAACCCCCATTTCGCATCCGGAGATCCCAGCATAGCGGTGAGCGACGTGTTGGCATCGGGTCCTGCGGAAAGGCTGCTGCAGTGAGTTAGAACTTTTTCATAGTTTTCCAGCGCTCCACTTCTCGAATTCGACACTTCTGTGCCTAGGAGAATGTCGTTCCTTAGTTTCAAGGATTTGGGTCTCATCCGTTAAAGATTGAGTCGGGCTCTTATCTACTTGAAAGAAGCAAAATTTTAAAATAACCCGCACACATTTTTCAGAACCCAATAGGAAAACAGGAACCTTAACCAAACACGTACTTTACACCTCATCCTTGGTCTGCCGTGAAAACAGTAACTAACCATATCTCATCTTCACAGATTTAGCTGCTCTTTTTAACAACTTGAACATGTTCAAGAAGATATGTCTTCTTCTTAAGGAACCAACTCCATTCAGTGAAGATTGGCAACTATCCTGGCAAATTCGTTTCGATCTTGCGCAGTCCTCAGCAATGTATGGGAGTCTAGCCCTGTCCAATCCCTCACGTTCTTTAACCATGAGACTTGTCTCCGCCCCGGCCCTCGTCTACCCTCAATTTTGCCTTCTATTATAATTTTTAGAAATGCATACTTATTGCCTCTCATGTGTCCGAGGTAGGTCGTTTTCCTTTTTTTAATTATGTTTATGAGGTCCCGTTCATTGTTTATCCCCAGTAATATCTCTTCGTTATTTACATGGTCATTCCAGGGTATTCTCAGCATACGTGGATAAACCCACATTTGTAACGCCTCTAATTTGTTTAGCGTACTAGTCTTTAGCGTCCACGACTCGACCCCGTACAATATAACAGAAAACACATAGCATTTAACGAAATTATACCGGATTTGGGTGTTAAGGCTTTTGTCACTTAGCAAGTTTCGCATTTTCAAAAATGTTGCTCTCGCCATTTCTATTCTTGTTCTTATTTGCACATCAGGATTTAGATCTTCTCCAATCCAGCAACCCAAATATCTAAATTTCTGCACTTTCGAAATAACTGTCCCGCGTATTCCTATGTCCAGAGGCTGGTTCGGGGTTCGGCTTATTACCATCGTTTTTGTCTTTTTTGTATTTATTTGGAGCCCCATGCGGTAAATTACCGTTGTTATTTTATTTATTAGATTTTGAAGACCTTCGGGACTGTCAGCAATTATAACAGTGTCCGCATACCTTAAGTTATTTATTAGTCTTCCGTTTACTCTAATGCCGTCTTCCACTTCTCTCAATGCTTGCTGAAATATTGCTTCGGAGTACATATTAAACAACATTGAGCTAAGCATGCATCCCTGTCTTACTCCATGTTTAATAAGCACTGTTTTCGTTTCGAGGCTGTCGAGTTTTATTGAGGCTACCTGGTGTTCGTACAAGTTCTGTATGATCTTCATATCATGTGAATCAATGCCTTTACTTTCAAGTATTTCGAGCAAGTCTCTATGCTTGACACGGTCGAAAGCTTTTGTGTAATCTATAAAGCACAAATATACATCCTTCTGTTGGTCCCTACATTTTTGCAGTAAGATCGACAGCGCAAACAACGCCTTCCCGAAAACCCATCTGCTCCTCACTTATATCTTGATCACATTTTCTTTTTATACGATTGTGCAGAACTTTTAGGAATAATTTTAACATCTGACTCATCAGACTGATCATGCGGAACTCGTCGCACTTTTTTGCTCCAGGTTTCTTTGGGATGGGAATGAAGGTCGACTTCATCCAGTCTTGTGGCATAACCCCCGTTTTGTAAATGGTGTTAAAGAACTGGACTACAATTTTTAAGTTTCTTTCTTAATTAATTCTGGATAGATATTATCTGGGCCAGCCGCTTTCCGGGATTTAAGACCATCTAAGGCTTTTTCAACTTCGGCCGCAATTATTTCTGGTCCTTGTTCTAGTTGGATCTGATTGTGATTGTCATCAAAAATGTCTGATAAGTATTTTACCCAGACTTCTTCTTCATTTTCGTGGTTGGTTGCCAGCTTGCCTTCTTCATCTAAGATTTTTATGTGGGGCCGTTGTTTTCTGCTTCCGGTAATTTCTTTTATTTTTTTGTGAATGTTAAATGCGTCGTGTTTTGTAATAAGTTCCTCTTCCATCTCCTGACACTTCACCTTCATCCAGGACTCCTTAGCTGCCCTAAGAAGATATGTAGGATAAGTAAAAGAAGGAAATTAGCTACTCAAGGCCAGAACTCCAATGTCTACTATCACTATGTCCAATTGTGGACATAGTGACTTTAAGACTGTTCTGCCTGAGGAGTTTGCTGATCCTTTGATAATGATTAGAAATGGTCTAATCATTATCAAACCTCATCAGAGTCGGCGTGAGAACCACAAGCGAGTAAATAAACTCTCAACACCTATTTTTATCGTTTTATGTTTTCCGAACATAAATTAGGTACTCTCTGTTGCAGGGTAAACGATCGGATTATTTCGGTTAACGGGATATCCCTTCAAAACGTGGACTATGCGACCGCGGTTCAAGTACTACGAGATTCTGGTGACACGGTGACTCTAGTGATCAAGAGGCGCGCTTTGCAGCATATCCATGGACACAGCGCCTCATACAGTGGACCGTCCACCCTCGCCGCTTTGGGCATCGCAACCCCGCCGCCAGCCAAAGTCACGCTAGTTAAGGGCTCCAAAAAAGAAGGTAAGTTGCCGGTAGTATCTTCTCTATCATATAACTCAGGGACCTGATATGTGTACTTGCAAGTAGTACCCATCATCGAAATGCATATAAATTACTTCTTTTAATGTAAGGAAGGAAGAAACCTAAAGGCTGTGTAATGTGGTTATCTTTTTAATTTACATTTTAAACTATTATTGCACATGCGTATAGAGACTTCCTAAATGATGATGATTAAAATAGCTCTGCAGGCCTAGAAGGCCTATGGCTTGGTTGACTTTGTTTCTCCATTCTTTTCTGTCTTCTACCTTCTTTCTCCAATTCCATTCTCTAATATTTTTTTGGGTAACCTATCTTTTTTCATTCGCTTTTTGCTGTCCCTGCAATGTTCGCAAATAGCTGTTGCAGTGCCTTATTGCTTCTTCTTTCCCATCTATCACCGACTTAAAGATTTGGCGCAAACATTTCTTTTCCAAACTGCTAGCATTCTTTGTTCGCTTTTGTCCATTGTCCACGTTTCGCTTCCGTCTCAGTCTCAGTATTGACTTTGTAATTTCTTACTATTTATAAATCTTCTGGATTCCTCCGGCGTCGTTTGTTTATAAATTCTTTGTTTTGCACTTCTAGACAGCAATTTGCTGTTAAGTAAATTACTTTGTTTCCTTTAAATAACAGCCTTTCAATTTGTTGTTTTAGGTTTTTGAGTTTCTAGTAAATTCTGCACCCAAGTATGTAAATGACTCCACTCCGTCTTGCTGTTTTAAACTTAAATTTCACGTGGGAGTACTCCTCCTTGATTCTGGTTTGCTTGTTGTCACTATTGCAATATCGTCTGCAAATACCAGACATTGTTGCTTTTATGATATATTAAAATTGTTCTGTTTGTACTCAACCTTCTGACAAACTCAAAAGAGCCGCCTTTTTTTCAAGGTTGCTAAATAATAAATGAAAATATCTTCAAAAGTTATTTTCTGGACAACATTATTAATTAATTAGGGTAGGAATAACTAATATAAGGATTTTCTCTTTATAAAAACCAGATTTTGGCATCGTGTTGGGCTGCAAACTCTTTATCAAGGAGATCTCATCAAAAACGAGGGAACAGTTAATCAATTCCAATCAGCTACTGGAAGTTGGAGATTTTATAACTAAACTAAACAACACGAGCTGCAACGACGTGATGTCCCTCAAAGAGGCGAAAAAAATTATCGACGGGTGCAAAGACAAGTTGCACATTACCGTAGCCAGAGATTACGCTGGTGCATCGAACGCTTCGCATCAAGCACAAAGCTCCATCAGTACAACCGGAGCGGTAAACAACTTCTACAAAGGAGACGATTTCCTAACATCATCGAACCAAAGCTATTCTAATCAGAATTTATACGTCCAACCGCCCACCAGGAACACAAATCTCAATCAGAACGGTTCTTTCGACGAGAAAGCGGACCCGTTATCCAATAACGGTCCAAATTCGCTACCAGAGGACAAAAGCAACTTGGCACCGCGCGGTGGTAGATCCAGAGGTCCGCTTTCTGAAGCCAATTTAAGTCAGATCGAGCAAAGGAATAGTTCGGCAGCGTATGGGAGAACGAAAGGAGACAGGGAGGAACCGCCCAGACCTCCACCTCCCCGAGCTGAAGGTAATGATTGTGTAAAAAGCAATCTCGTGATGGTAATTTTTATTTATACATGCAGACTACTATAGCTCCAGAAGGCAGATGTATGAAGAAGATCCGATTATTCAGAAGACAAAACAGCCCATGTGAGTTTTATTCGTACTAGGGTGTCAAACGACGCTTAATGGAAATTATGATTTTAGTCCTGATGCGAGATTTATTACGTTTCATAAGGAGGGTTCAGTAGGAATTAGATTAACCGGAGGTAACTTTTCCGGAATATTTGTAACGGCCGTCCAACCCGGAAGTCCGGCATCTCTACAGGGTTTGCAGCCTGGCGATAAAATATTGAAGGTAAGTCAAAGCAAATTTTGCAAAAAATATCGTCTCAAAAAGTGTCATTAAGCGTATTTTTGTTTGTTTTGCAGAATTTTGACTAGATGGGAAAATTTAAAAGTTCAGTTTTATTTTTCGGCCATTGATATTTTAATAACATTCCAATTTAACATCAACACACTTTTACCGAGATGAATGAGGACAATTATAGGGAAAGCGATGCTCCCAGAAATTTGAAAAAAAAAATTCAAATTAAATCTGTTAAAAAGAAGTACTTCAATGCATTTCCTGAAATGACCACTAGTGGCCGTAATTGTCAGCTTGATATTTATGCGAAATTTTCTTACATTAACGATAGTAGTTACTGAGATGAATTCAAATAATTTTGATTAATGCCCTTTCCTCTGTCCCTGAAAGGAAAGTAGGGGGCTGTTAAAATATTGTCGGAAATAAGTATTGATACCTTGAAATAGGATTAACTCATTCTTACAAACTTGGTCCGACAACTCAGTGAAAACCCCATCTCGATTCTTTATTATCCTTACCTAAAATATAAATAAAAGAAATAAAAGCTCAAAAAAAGTTAAATTTTGGGAAACATTTGTGCACTTTACGGGTTGTTATTGATGTCTAATTATCACTACACGCTGATTTATTATTAACAATGCCAAATTATATTCAAAATGGAATTTCGTTATTTAATAAATATTGTTGAAGATTAATTGTAAAAAATAAAAATCCAAATGATTTGTACACTATCTATTGTTCTGCTTTTTCCCAATAAGTTTAATTTAACTAACCAACCTTTTAAAATGTCCAGGTAAACGATATGGATATGGCTGGGGTGACGCGGGAGGAGGCAGTGCTATTTCTTCTAAGCCTGCAGGATAGAATAGAATTAATTGTTCAATATTGCAAAGAAGAATACGATAACATAGTTGCCTCCCAGAAGGGTGATAGTTTTTACATTAAAACCCACTTTCATTATGAAAACCCGGCCAAAGGGGAGATGTCTTTCCGATCTGGTGACGTTTTCCACGTTATCGATACATTGTATAACGGAGTCGTGGGGTGCTGGCAAGTTTTTAGGATAGGTATGTCGTATGTATTTCGCAAAATTCGACATTTGACTAAAACGAACGCTTTAGGCCGCAACAATCAAGAAGTGCAAAAAGGTATTATTCCAAACAAGTCTAGGGCCGAGGAACTGGCCACGGCGCAATTTAACGCAACGAAGAAGGAAATGTCGGCTAACGAATCGAGAGGAAGTTTCTTCAAGCGCAGAAGAAGCTCGAACCGCAGATCCAAAAGTCTCGGCAAAGAACATTGGGATGATATTCTGTTTTCCGACACGATTTCCAAATTTCCCGCTTACGAAAAAGTGTTATTAAAGCATCCGGGTTTTACCAGGCCCGTGATACTATTCGGGGCGATATCGGACATCGCGAGGGATAAACTGCTTAAAGATTTTCCGGACAAGTTTATTTCTCCGCGTGAGTTACACCGTATTTCGATATTTTTCTGTTATTTTTGCATTTTTTTTACAGAACTTGATGTCAGCGCGGAAGAAAGTGTAAAATCTCCGAAATCAACGTCTAATATAATACGGTTATCCGCGATACGAGATGTCATAGCGACCGGAAAACATGCTTTGTTGGATATAACTCCGAATGCTGTTGAAAGGCTCAATTACGCCCAAATGTATCCGATAGTTGTTTTCTTCAAAGCGGAAACCAAAATGGTCGTCAAGCAATTGAGAGTCGGCTTGCCCAAGTAACAACGTTTTGCGTCCCTTTTAAGTATTGCGTTTTTTATGGTGCAATTCTTTAAACAGGTCCGCCCACAAGAGTTCAAAGAAACTTCTAGAACAGTGTCAGAAATTGGATAAAGTTTGGAGTCACATTTTCAACGCGACCATAACCCTGACGGACAATACCGACAGTTGGTACAGGAAAGTTAGGGAAATCATAGACAAGCAACAAAGTGGTGCCCTCTGGATGTCGGAGAGCAAGGTAAGAGCTGTCGTAACTGCTTGTACGGTGTGGGTACTTCACATAGTAAGGCCACAGTTGAACCTGAAACAAAGCATTTCGTCCCCTCGCCCTTCTTCTTTATGTGCCTAATAATGATAGCTATCATGATGGTGTCAGGGGTATCACCCTCTTAAGTTTTTCACCTATGAAGTGCGCCCTCTCCCCACGCTTCTCTTGCCTTGTATTCTTCCCTGTATTATTAGTTGTAGCATATGGTAGCTTTTTCCGCCCCAGATAAGCAAGTTTCCTTGTCTTTACAGTGTCCACTATCTCTGTTGTTTTATCCATTCATCTTAATATATCTGCAGTTGTGACCCTTTCTGTCCAACAAACTAAGCATGCGTCTATATACCCATATTTCAAAATCCCAAAGTCTTTTTAAGTCATCTTTGTTCGTTGTCCCCGATTCCATTCCATAATGAAGGGTTGAAAAAATATAGCAATCTGATTTTAAGTGTGCTGTCTAGATCTGTGGCGCAGAATACTTTTCGCATGTTGGTAAATTTAGCTCTAGCTTGTCCTATTCTGGATCTTATTCCTCGGGAGTGTCCTCCAGTAGAGTTTAACATGGTTCCCAGGTATTTGCACTCACTTACTCTCTCGAGTTCCTTATTGCGAACATACTCCGAATATGCCGGACATTTGCTTTGCTGAAGACCTTGAATTTTGTCTTTTTTTTTTATTAAGTGTAAGATCAGCTTCTTCACTGCTATTGACAATTTTGTCTATCATTCTTTGTAGAAGCGCGCTACTTTGGGCTATTACCAACCAAGGTGTCATCGGCAAAACTTATATTGCCGATATGAGAGAGCACGCTTTCTATTAATACCTCGTCTTCTTTAAAAACAGCTTTTTGATTGTAATATAGATTGCTAATTATTCTCGTGTTTTTAAAGTCTATATCTTAGGATTTCCATAAGTGTGTGGTGCCTCACATGATCGAAAACTTTGTAGTAATCCACAAAATAGAGCCCTTACTAATTTTTGAAAGAAGCTTCCACAGGCTACTGTAATACTTTTTACAAAACTTCTGGATTCCTCCTGCGTCGGTTTTTGCTGAGCCGAACTTGCTGACAGTTTCAGTCAAGCTCTGAAGAAGCCAACAGGATGATTGGCGAAACGTCAGCAAGTTCGACTCAGCAAAAACCGACGCAGGAAGAATCCAAAAGTTTTGAAAAAAGTAAAGCAGACGCCCTTTCGTAGAGTTCGCAAGTTCTCGTGAAATATACATTCTACTTTGTTACTCTATATATGACACTTGCAAAACAACTTCGAAAGTAAACCAACACAAACTCTAACAATTTTCTAAAAACTGTAACACCGTGCTGACAGTTTCTCTCCCGTAAGGCGGGGCTAAGGCGATGCGTATAATTATCGGCGCAAACGTTTCTGATCAGTAAAATGCCAAAGCTGCGTGTTAGGTTCAACTACGGCAAATATATATTCGACCAGTTTAGCAATATTTTACATGCGGGGAAGCAGTTAGCAACGGAAAAAACCTTCTAGACATAAAAGACTAACGTGGTGGTGACGGTAATTATTCTGGTGTTTTCTTTCAGAGTTCCGATTTTTACTCCCAACTGAGTTACCCGTCCATTTTTTTGACTCCCAAAAGTACCAACTCGCTCCCTGGCCACTACCGACCCTCCCGTAGCCGTACGAAGCGAGCTCCCCTGTCAATGTACAGTTCGCCTCAATTTATACATCGCACGTCTCCATTGTATATGTCCCGCGATCGCTCGCCCAGTGTTTGTCGTGAATGTACGTCGGTTTATGCGCCTCAAAACTCTTGGGCAGTTACGTCGATATATGCCGATGAATCTTCTCCGGCTATGTCCAGAGAATGTTCTGTGTATGTGCCGGAACGCTCGTGCTCTCCCGAGGCTCGTGATCGTGATACTTTGACGTACGAAACTTGTCAGAATTATGCAAGTAGACCAATTTGTTTGAATGATCGTTTTGCTAATGATAATAATAACGAGTGTTTTTTTGCTAACACAATTAATAGCGATACGAAGAGGGCCAAAGAAGATACCGAACCTCTATACTATGAATGTGCGAGCAGTAAATGCACGGTTGATATTGATAACAAAAGGCTCCAGAAGTATGACTTCAAAATTTCGCCGATTCAAGAAGAAGTTTATGGAGAAATTTAGTGATTACTCACTTTTATAATTTAATTCTGATGGAAAGACTTACTGATATACTCTAGTTAATGATGTTTTGTTTTCCTGCTTTAGCTCAGAATGCTTAGCGTTTTTGTTTAATTAATAATGTTTACCCCTAACCAGTATACTTAATAGGCGCTCTCATGTTTACTAACACACATAAATTAATAAACAAACTTTCAGCTTCATAATAATGAATATCTTTGTTTGTTAACGCCCATTTTGTACATAACATCGCGCCATTTCTATCGCGATCATAATTTGCAGCCGGAAGAGTCATTGTCAGACGATTTCCTATTCCCAATGTCATCGCTTCGCCTTTCTTACGCCAGTTCTCCTGAAAGCGACCTCGAACATAGTCCTGGCCCGCCCGCGTCCCCAACCGGCACCGTGGGAGGCGTGGCCGGCCGCCTCACCAAAGCTAGTTCGGATCCCAGCGTTGTTTTACCTCCTGAAAGTGGGGCTAGCGACGTACTACCACCTTACCAGGTAGGTAAATTCACTTTTCTCCCATCTGACTCATCTTCATGACATTTTTAACATCACTCATTACTCTTTTCTACAGGGCGATTAAATAAGCAAGTCTCAGAAACCAGTTACGCCATAATGTTTGCTAGATATTAGAAAAATTTGCAAATTTTGACTAGAAAGTCAAGTTAGATGGAAAAATGTTGAAAAAAGTGTTTAACAGTTTAACATTTACAATTTGTATTTCCAGCGATATGAAAGCAAAAATGTTCAACAAAAATAATGCATGTACTTTTTGGATTTTAATTTAACAAAGAGGCTAATCCCCTTAGGGACCATCTTGGGCCACCAATTTTATTACCAAAATCCTTCACAAAGAGTCGTTTTCGCTTATTCAGCCAGCTTGTACAATTTGCTATGCTACCTAATCATTTTTAAATTGGTGATTGGTGGATTTTTTTTATAACGGTTTGACATAGTTCCCCCCAATGTGGACTCGCCCATAAATAAATAAATAATAGGCTTATCGTCTGAAAATTAGTTTTAAAGGGCAAAGAGTATAACGAATGGAATGTTATTTAATGCATCTCTTTCTTACTTTGTAGCCAAATTACGACCCTCGTTACGGCTTTGGCAACCAAAATCAGCAACAACCAATATTGGATGGTCAAACGCCTCTGGTCGAGTCAACGCTTACAAAAGATCCGTCATACACACTTTCAAATACTGACATTCCATCTTCTCTTGGCCCTCCCCCTGAGTACAACAAAGAGGGGCTCTATTCAGCGAGCATATATCAAAAGTCCAGCGATTTTGGAAAGCCCAATAATAACTTCGGCAATCAGGAACGAAGAGACGATTATGGAAGTCCTGATCGACGGGAATATAACGATAGGGCCATGCAACACAAGAGACAGGCAAGTACTCTGCTAGGGCCTTACAATCAATCAAAACTTCATGAGCAAAGCCCTTCCAAAGAAGGCATATATGGAGGGGCTCCAGATTTACCACCTAGGGTTGATCGAGCTGCTAAACCCATGGGGTTAGTAACAACCCCTGGCAAAATACCCAATGGAAGGTCAGCCCATGAGAGGTTATTTGGAACCAAACCAAGTCAGGTTGACAGTGCTGAAGTGGCTAATGGTAACGAAAACGGCGGTTTTGGAATTAATAACAAGGCAGGATCTTTGGATAGAAGTCAAAATTCCAAGTCTGATTCACTATCGAGCTATGACTCCTACAACAAGCAATCTTCGACAAGGATTGGTCCGAATGCTCACGACGATCTCAAAACTACCCTCTCAAAAATCGAGACAACCACGAGCAGAAACACTCATCAGGGTAGTCCCTCAAGGAATCCTAGGTGGAATGATCAACAAAACCATCATAGACATGGTGGTTCAAAATTGGATCTCAAATATGGGATGCCCCTAGGCGATCCCAATATGGATGGTAGCCCGAGGAATTCTAGAGATTTGCTGGACAAAGATGCTACAATACCAAGCGAACCAGTTAGCCCCAGGGGATCTGTGGAGAGGGATATGTATAGATATTCACGATCTCCTGCAAAACAAAACATTCCCAGCAAATCACACATGGAAACCAAAACCGACTATGGGAAATACAGGTAGAACAATAGCAAATAATAACTCAAATGGGAAATGTTTATTTGTATTTCCAGTAGAAATAACAACAACACCAATGGCAACAATATGGGTTTACCCCCGCCCCATCAACCGCCACCTGAATATACCAGGTCTTCCCACCAAGATTTGAGGGAATCCCAATTAAGTATACATCAACATTCTCCTTTAAGAAACCAACCTATGAATCATAACGGGTGAGTTGTCAGCAGCAGAGAAAATCCATTTTTCTAATATATAATTGGCCTTTTCCTCTGTTCCATTGACGATTTTATTGAGTATTTTTAGGTATGACATTGGTTCTCCTGGCAATCCGCCATCGATGAATGGAAACCAATATAAACCAATCCCCCCACCAAAACCCAAAAACTACAAACCACCTTATAAACAGGGTTATGGTGGACCAGCAGACGGTATGATTCAACCTCCACCAATATATCAACACGGAAAAAGTCATAGCAATCCCGTGGTGGGTTAATATTTTTTCCATTACTACTTATATTTCATTTGTATCTTTTTATTTGCAGGATCCTAGACATCAAAACCCCAATAATCCTCACAATTATTATTACAACTCCCCTCCCCCGTCAATGCTTCAGGGTGGTAACCATCACGCCGCCCCCTACTACCCTGACGGCGGACGGGGTGTAGTTGGTCACTATGAAATGGCGCCATCTTACCACCACGAGTCGCCAAGGCGGCATCCCAGCATTTCCTATGCCTCCCGTAGCGAGATAGCCCCCATAGCTCATCACGACTACAATACCAATGAGCACCATGCGATGGGCGGAGACCCTTTAATGGAGAATCATAGGCCGCCCGCAGTGGTCGACCTTCAGGGCTCTAGGGAGCAGCGGGGTTCTGCTTTTGAGTTATACAGAAAACCTGTGGGCCATAACTTAAGGTGAGTACTGTTTATGGTTAATAACGTGGTGCTTCATTTGAACTACTGACATCTCAATCTCAACTTTTAGTGTTTATGCTGCTTTATTTTCGTTGTCGTTTGTTGTCCCTCGATGTCTGTAGGAAAACTACAAATGAAGTATTGCTTCACTTTTTGTTGTTAGACATTGTCTAGTAAATGAGACAGACAGCATGTTGAGTTTTAGTTTTAACCTCATTTTGCATTTTTTAAATGACGTGGACTGATAAAAAAGTTGATTTTTCTGCAACTGACAACTGATAAAAAATGCTTGACTCTTTTTAATGTGGCAAATTGCTCATTAGTTTTCGAGAGACACTTTTCACGTGTCCAAAAATTTCGTTTTTCAATTAAAATTTGGATACTTCAGTTGTAGAAAAATAATGCCTACTCAACTCGCAACCCTGTTATATAAATAACTTTTTTCATCATTTTCATAATCTTATAAGACTGTGTTATTAGCCTTTTGATGTTTTTATTGTGGATACGGAGGTTCTCGCGGCTACAGCCTTTCAGAACACAACGCTTAATCCTGGTTCACCGTTTTTAATCTTTTCTTTCTGTCAAAATATTCTTTAATATGTGGACGAATATTCAGTTGTAAATACATTTTGTTTAAAAAATATGCATTCTCAAGGACTATACAGAGCTATTTCTCGCTAATATATATGTACACTGGTTGCTATCTTTGCTTTAACTAAAATGTATGTAAATACTCGATTTTTTTGTCCTAGGGTACTCTATATGTTGGATTTTTGACTGTTAGTGGTGTTTAATTCGGTATGTTGAAGAGGTTTGTGTGGTTTTTAACATGTTTTTACAAATTTGTTTGACAATGCATGAAATTGTTTATTTTGGTTAGTAGTTTAGGTTTTTGATCTTCTCGTGGAAATATAGAAAATTAACGACACTACCGTCGTTTGGTGCTAAGTTTGTTTAATATGCTGAAGTGTTCAACTGCTATTTTAGGTTTTTATAGTTTCTTATAAGGTGCTGATAAGTTGGTAAAAATGGTGCTTGGTGCATGTTTTATCTGCTAATAGCCATACACGTTTAAAAGTCAAAATCTAGTCATTTACGCTGTTTCATTTGTCATTGAAGGAGCTTTATGGACAGTCAGCCGGCTTTTTACGGATCGCAGCCTAATATAGCTCAAAAACTAAACCAATCGGCTACTAACTCACCAAAACCCAAACCCAAACTAACCAAAGCGCAATCATTCAAACACACCAAGAGCGAAAACGGAGGCTTCAGTACTCCCAAGCTCTTCAGGAAACTATCGTTCGGAAGAAAAAGCAGGGAGGGGACTCCAAAAATGTCCAAAAAGCTTTCGTTACAACCCGAGACTATTAAAGAATACCAAGTGATGAAGGATTTCAATAGAAATGCCCAAGATTTTACCAGGCCAAGCAAAAGAGATATCACATCGGCTTACATGGACCATAGAGGTGGTACTCTGGTAAACGAGTACTGGGGGGTTTCTCTAGAGGTCCCAGAGGGAGCTATTCCGCCAGGAGAGGAGAAACACATTTATTTTGTTATATCCGACCCTAGGTTGTGCGAAAGCGCCCCGCCATTGGATTTAGATAACGGTAATGCTTGCAGTGTTTTGGGATACCATTGGTGATGGAAATTGAATTAACAGTGAATAATTTCTCGGTTCTACGCTTTTTGTGTGGTGGTGAGGGTTTATTGGTAAACATAAAAAGAGGGTTTGGAACTAATCAAAGGATCTAAACAGGATATGGTTTTGTGGCGCCTAGAAAAACCTGGCGGCAGTTACGATATATGTTTATGTTCAGGCGGTGTTAATTCGATTTCTATTTGCAATGAAGGTAGCCAGTGTACATATTATACGATGCACCACGATGTCGAGGCTTTTCGCAATGAACCTCAGTTAGATGAGTGAAAGTGATACTTGTTAAATTTGTTGTTCGCGTAAATCATCTAGGTGGGGTTATTCCGAAAAGCACCACTTGAATGCAGAACTTGAGCATCCCTTTCGTTTTTTAGGTGAAACTATGCTGTCACCTCTAGTGATGTGCGGACCACAAGGTAAATAATTTATCATAGTAACGGCGGTGGGGTTTGGGCTGTATTTTCGCGACCCGACGTCTTTTGCGTCTTTAAATAAACTTTTGTTTTTTGCTTAATTATAATACCTCGCTATACATATTAAGATCTTCACATAACCTAACTACTAGAAAACCTCAATTCTTTTACACTTAGACAAACACTTATGGAAGATCGCTTCTTAGTTTCTCGCTCCATCTACTAATAGAAGGGCTAAAATTTGATATACAAGTTTTTAATTTGCAACCTTTCTTTCTTTGGTATGGCTGTATAATTGTCTATAATGACAAACTATAGTAAATCAAATTCGACAGTTTGGCTTGACGTCAAATACAAAGAGCAATTAACATCGTGTTAATGCTTTCTCTTGAATATTCGAAATCCTAAAATGAAACCAAGAAAATTGGAATACATTGGAATCATACCAACAAACAAATGTTTTTGAATCCAAAGAAGCAAAGCTAGTAAATTACAAACTTGTCTCCGCCCTTCGATGGCGCACAAAATGAGTGTTGTTTTTCTATGCAGTCTAGTGGTAAAACCATGTAGCTAGTAGAGATATGGATAGAAGGATATGGCCTCTGCCAATAATACAGGAACTTATGAAGGCACTATTAAACAAAAATTTGAGAAAGTGCGTTCGATATGCGCATGCGCGAGATTTACAATCTCGTTTTTAAACAATGACCTTGCGGCATTCAAAAACCAACATGGCCGCTGACAGGTCGTCGATAAGTTTAGATACGACATTTTTACCGCAGAATTTTCTCAAAAAATGCCTAGATCCCGTTAAATTAATTTATCCTATATTAAATGGTTTTTGGTTACTCTCTCTGAACTCTTCAGAACTCCGAAGCTTTGTTCTCGTTCCATGTAAGTATTACAAATACACAAATGGATGAGGTCTGTACCTTATGACTAAATACGGTTATATCACCGTTTGACGACAACGCTCGGTAACTTTGACGCAATGACGTCAGATCGACTATGGTCTGCGATAGTCATAGTAAATAAAGTACGTACGCCATTAAGCTACTTGACTTTGTTGACGGTGCTAGATCGGGAAAATACAGCATCAGACATTTGAAACGTGATTTTTGAACTGTTGTCCACCCATACAATTAATATGTTAATATTTTTTTAGGTACTGAATTTTTAAAGCCTGTGATTCTGAATATTCCGCATTATGCAAACACGTTGCCTAGCTTAGGAATAACTTTAAAAGCAACCGATTCGGAAAAAGACATCCATACGGACTGGGATAATATACTGTTACCTAGCAATCACGCTGCAAATAGTGTTGCTGTCAAAGTCGACCATTTCTAGGAGGTAGGCACGACTTGTTGCAAAAATGATTTTACAATTTTTACATATTTTATGACTGAAATTCCATTGATTTTATATAGACATATATATACGTGTAAATACTCATCTTTATAGGATTTTCTTTTAAACTGTTAAAGATATGCAAAAGGCGTGTGATCTAGGAAATCAAAACGTTGAATAATGTTACAACAGTTATGTCAATTAGCGATGTGCTAACGATATTATAACAATATTTTATCACTTACTTTAATAAATAAATTTATGCTCATATAGATTTTAGCTTCTAAAATAAAACGCCCTTATTTTTAGGTAATTCTGTTTCATTCCTTGTTGTCCGGCGATAAAATAAAACCAAGAGTTTTATAAATTAATGCGTTTTATTCTGTTTGACACATAAAATTCAGAAATATATATTTTACGTAATAATTTGTGTATATTATTTTATAATATAGTTATATGTATAACTTATATAACACACACGAACTTACTATTTTTATATAACTACATTTAACAGCATTCTTACATATTTTGAGATCACAAAATATATAAATTTAACAAATTTAACAATTTCTAATTCCCAAACGTATTGCAGAGCCGCGTCGATGTGGCCGACAATCCTATATTGCTAATTTTCAAAAAATGGCAGTCGAATTATTATTACATATTAGGAACAATTTTGAATTTTGTAATATTCCCTCGGCATCATCGACGGGTCCGGCGAGTTATCCAACGGAAAGTAATATGGTGTGTCGAAAAGTTCATCAAAATAAAAAAAATACTGAAACATAATAGGATCGAAAGCTATATCACATTTTTTCCAACAAAATAAAATATAAAAATATTTGTTTCCAATTTTTTTCTGGCATCAACAAAGATAATAGTTATGCGATTATAAAATAGAACGAAGCGTTGATAATTATGTTTAACTCGTACAACCACAGTCAAAATAACGGTTTAATGGCGAAAAAACGTTATGCAGTCAGGTACCGATTTATTAAAACAATTCTGAAGCTGGGAAGACATCGAGTATTCTTATAATATTATTCATCTTGTACGCTGAAGTTGGAATAAAAACCGTTTAAATTTTGATGGGCTGCACAAGTGTAATGTGACTGTCTAATTTTTAATTCCTTGCACTCCGACGGGTGGTGGTACGTTTGAACTACCCACGTCATAAAATGTTTCAATTCGACAATTGCGTTCCTAAAAGTTTTTGATATGCGTCCAACGCGCTTTTATAACTATGCAGTATACAAACTTGATTGTGAATTATTTTTCGAAAAATATTCCTGAGCTTCGTGTCCCTTGAAAATTGGTCGATTTTGAAATACAACCTCGAATTGAAAAATCTTTTTTACTTTTGGGTGGCACTTCATGTTTTATACAAGCGAATTAATTACTCATCAGAACCGCTTTAGAACTATATTATTTTTTGATGGAAGGTGAATCAAAATTTTGCACCAATGACCATTGCACGACCCATTTTTCGAACGCAAAATGTACAAAGTTGTTTTCAAAAAAAGGCCACCCAAATTTACACACGCACATTCTGTCAACCCTCTCGCACCAAGTAAAACTTTATATCTTGGGATGCTTTGCACCTCATTTTGTACTTTTATCCTTTTAAATTGTAATAGATAGAAATGTCGATTTCCGATTCTAGGTTTCAATCGTCTTCGACATCTATCCATAAATTAAAAAACAATTGTAACAAGAACGATTTTTCTCTCCCTCGCTTGCTAAATTATAGTAAAAACTAACAACTACAAATCGTTTTTCTGTTTTCTTAAAAAAGTCAGGTTCCTACGCAGCGTTATGTACAAAAAGCGAAAAATTAGTTCCAAAAGCTCCACTCGGGCTTTCAAAATTTAATAATAGTACATAATCATAATTTGTCTCTTCTTCCCTAAGGAATCATCTACAATATATGTACAGGCCTACTTTAAAGCATTTAACTCGAATTCTTACACGACAATCCCGAAAACAATACCTCTCTGGACTACCCTGGATATAACTTAATAATGTACATTGTCTTTTCTTCTCGATAATCTAATTGACATCTTTTACGAGAAACAAGTAAATGTGGCTTTCTGTTATGGTCACTCGTGATGCAATTTCGGATGTGTTCGCTTGAAAAAATGAGTATTCCGATTTGACTAGCGTGGACAACTATTGATGGCAAAAAGGATAAATAGATCGACCGATCCTAAAGTCGAGTCTATATAACATTTCCATAACTGTAAACATAACTTTATAAATAATCACAAGTACTAAATATCTCTTCAATATGCAATTGATCAATACTTCATAAACGTAAGTGTAATATTAATATGATTAAGATTACACACAGAACACCATTGCGCAAATGCAAGTGGAGTAAAACAAACTAACCCCACTTTTTGGATTCTGTCGTGAGCATTGCACATGGCGGTTTAACCTGCACTTGCTCCCGACAAAATCCATTGTTATCGTCCCAAAAAACACGATATCAGTATCAATTCTGTGATCCGTCAAAGTATTTTTTTTTGAAAACCAATTGAGTATATGTTAACAAACCTTCTCTTACGAAGGCATCCTTTAGGAATTTTTTATAATATTTGTCAATTGTTGTAAGCTGGCCAAATGACCTTATGTAGGTCTTGGCCATAAGAAGTAAAAAGAAGAAAAACCCTACTTTCTTTAAACTTTGCTTCAATTTTTTTGTTCAGTATTCGTGTTTTTGTGCAGCTAGGCGTACAGCATGCACCTTTTTTCTAAAGCCGGCTACACACGATCCAGCAGTTCAGCTCGAACTGTCAGTTAAGACTGTTCAGGCGAACCCACCTTTTTTTCAACCAATCTTTACACCATACCGTAAGTTTTTTTTTAATTTATTTTTACCCAAAGCAACTACTAAGCCGAAAAGTGCTAACGCGTTGTCGTCAATAGCCATGATGATGATGATTGAGGAGGACTGTTCAGTTCGAAGTGACAGACCTGCCGGATCGTGTGTAGCCGGCTTAAGGATTATAATTAAATTTTTTATATTCAAAACCAGATAGATAAATTGGACTGAATGGATATAAAAGAAATATGTTACAGTTTATGTGGGAGCAATTCACTTGATTTCCCATTTTGCAAAAAATTCTAATGACCGCTTCAGAATACTTCTCCCAGTTACAAAAACGTTTATGGTGAGAGTTATGAATATGTGGCATAAACCCAGCTTAACGAATCGGGTCTTGTGTACAGAACAAAAATTGTTGAAGCGATAATAAAACGTCTCAGATTTTTTGAAACACTGTGTATTGGATCCAAGGATCAGCACCGATTTTTTGTGTAACTGTAGATACGAGGTAATCATTAAAACCGCAATGCCAAAATTCCCATCACGAAAGCACCATCGAAAGTTATATGTTCTACAAATATATCACAATACCACAGATACCCCTTTCTTCAGCGGAGAACAGGCGTCGATGAAAACTAGCCAGCTAGTCGTGGGTCCCAAGTCCAAAGTTGAATTACAAACTGACCCGGTTCATGACAATTACCGATCATTCGGGCGCCGTATTTTTTATCATCTCTTTCTGCTCACCGACGCTCGCTATGACACTCTTCTGTTGCTCGATCTGCGGCTGTTGGCTGGGCTGAGGCGACGACGTCTTCTCTTGCGCGGTTTGGATGATGGAAGAACTAGTAACCACTTCGTTGTCTCTAACGGGGTCGCCGCCCTTGCCGTTTTCTTCCAGCTGACCTCTGAGATCTTCGATTTCTTTAACAAGCTCCGCGTTCCTCAACTCTAGCTCGCTGATGCGGTCCTCTTTAGTGCGGCTATCCAAGATCGCCTGCTCGCATTCTTTCGTTAACCCCTTAAACAATCCCAACACCTTATCTCTAACGTCGCCGTCCACCCCCTTCAACACCTCTTCCAGTTTGGCGAATTCGGAATTTTTCTCCGACGTTTCGGAAGCACTGTCCTCCGTGTCGGTCGACAGCTCGATTTCCGGGTTGTATTTCTGTACGAGAACCGAGCTGCAACTTTGCACCACGGACACCGTCGAATCGATTATCTTCTCGGGAGTTCGAGCGGCCTCGACGGTTTCCTCTTCTTTCGCGTGACCGTTGGTCAACGGAGAAGGCGTTTCCGCCTTGGAAGGTGACTGCGCGCCATTTTTGTCCAACGGACTACTCGACGTGCACGGTTGATTAGTCGTGGCATTTTCGTGTATCCTACCGTATCGGTGCTTTTTGGGTGTGGGCGGAGCTAAAGCTACGTTTGGCTGGTAACTCCTCTCGAATCTGCAAGTTAATAATAATAATAATAATAAAACTCTATTATCCAACAACCAGTTAAAAGATAATGTCAACTATATTATCTTCAGTAAAATAGTTACATACTAGACACTATATTAAATGTTACAAAAATTTATGTTTTAATTAGTGTGGTCAACTGTGAGCGACTAAGACAAAAAAAACTTCAATATCATTGCAACTGACAAAGGGGAAAAGAAAGAATTAGATGTTTATGTTACTACCGCTTGTCGACAAATAACAATTAAAACTGTCATACGTCATCATAGTGTTACCCAGGATTTTGTAATTTTCTTTTTGGTCTTTTTTAAAGTGTCATTTTGATATCGCATAAACTCAAACAGCTACCTGAAACTGGTGGTTGTAAAAATGACAATAAGCTGTTGATAATATGTAGATTCCCCTAATTGGATGGGCCTTTAAGGGAGTTCTACTTTATTACAGTTTATATACAATTCATCTTACTGAGTGGGAAGTATGTTTTTTTGGGAGAAATATTTTTGTATTGATGTATGTATCTTTAAGAAATTCACAACATAACATACCAATAGAATTGGTTGGTGCGTTTAAAGAGTTTTTCTAAAATATAAAATGCCATAATTATTGAAGAGTGCTGGTATCAAAAATTTATGGAATATTTCGTCCCTATTTTTATTAAAAAAATTGGGAATATTAAGTTATAAAATTTTACACAAGAGATCTTTAAAAGTTTTTCTGTTATTGTAAAATGTTATGAATATTTTTTAGACCGTTTGTTATTATTGGCACGTCGGCAGCACCATTTTCAACGTTTATCTATGTGACGACTGTTGATTCGGACGCGAAACACAGGTGATGCCCTTAGAGCCCTTAGTTTTGGTTAGTTTGAAATTAAACGTACCTCCTACTATTTATCAGTGATCACTTTGTGACCGAATAGGCACCATTCTTTTCATGTTTTTAATTTGAGTGATAATGAATTTGCTAGAGCGTGCGTAGATCAAAAGGGCAAACGCTGGATTGAGCTCGATGTTCAGTACATATAGGGACTGCGAAAGCAAGGCCTATTGATCGATATTGTTGAACCATACTCTATTTTCAACAATTTCAAAGCAAAATCTAATCAAATTTCTAACTACAAAACGCATTTTGCGTCGAACGTCACACCCAATTTTTTAAAAGTGTCACTAAGCTTAGTAAGATCATAATGAAAAGCTTTAATTAATAATCAGTTTTACTTGAAAACGACATTCATAAGCATTTATCTGTAATGGAATATTACCTCTCGGACTCCGACATCAGCACGACCCTCTCCGGGTTTTGTAACAATGGTGGGTCCGTTGCGCAGCGCGCAGCCAAACCCAGCGCGTTCGCACTGCGTAATTTGGACTCTCTGATCGTCTGGACGACGGGTTTGAAGGCGCTCAAGTGACGACCGACATTGTTGAACTCCTGCGTAATTTAAGATTAATAAGTACTTAAGTTAACACTTTAAAAAACGTCTTAAGGTTCGACAGGATTATTTCGTGAGATCAACCATTCAGAAACAAAATAATTTTCCGTTATTATTATACTTGCGATGAACACCGTACGCTCCTGCAACTTGGTCATACTTCGATCTTCATTTAATCTGTTTTTTCAATTTTACTTGTACTTCAAACAAAATCTATAAGTAATGCAGAGCTTTTTATATGAAATACAAGACGAACTCTATTTGTAAAAAAAAATTGGGACACACTGTATCTAACTTATGCTAAAATATACGCAAAACTGCTATTTTCATTAATAAAAATCAGAAAAAGTAAAACAAAGCTTTCGATACTTTTTCCCGAAAAATATCTGTTTTTAGCGTTCGTTTCCATTAAAAATCTCAATAGAGCAAATCATACACAACCGCATGAGTAAGAATCCACATTTAAAGAAGTTAAGAAAATCATTTTTAATTTGATATTATCTTTGTTTTATACTTGTATGTATCGTTCTTAATTTTCCTCTGACTGTTATGCCATTCTGAGTTATGGTATATTTATCATAAAATTTCGTTTTCGATTTTTGCCTTTTTTTATGGTTCTTGGACATTATGTTGACGTAGAAGTTTCATAACTGCAATCAACTTTAGCGTTACTAATCATCATCCCTTTCAGAAGAAACAAAAGCAAAAAAATAGATAAAATGATTGACGAGAACAATAAAAAATGAAAAACCAAACGTATTCAACAGAAGATGAATATTTCGGATGAGTTGTAGTTTAGAAGAAGTAGGTGGTGGTGAGTTTGTTGAAGAATTGGCATAATTTGTGGCAAATAACCCATAATATACGAGAGAGTTGGTCCAAGTGTTCGCTATACAAAATAGTATATTTTGCAACAAGTGCGGTAAACGGCATTTGACTCACGAGTTTATTTGATACGAGCGAAGCGAGTGAGTTAAAAAGTTTACCGAACGTGTTGCATACTATACTTTTTCTACGACCGTTAGTTTTTGAGTACATTTTCGCAAAACACGAATACATTCACTGACATGACCGTCAGAATTGACAAACGTCAAAATTCAAAGCGTGGGGAAATATCTCCGAAAACACCCGATTGTTGCCAAACCCGTTCGGTAAAATCCCGGAAATGTCCGAAGTGGCTCGGATTCGTGGGAAACGAAACTGACATGGTAAAGTGACGCTTCCCGCAACGCTAGATCGGTGGGTAATTAGGTATTTTACAGACGGGAGTAGAAAAACGTCTTTTTTAATCTGATCATTTGACTTTATCTGACGAATTCCGATATTAAATAAAATTATGTGTTCGATTATTCCTTGGATTTCGATGCTATTTAAACGAAGGATGAGCTTTCACCAAACATTTGGGAATTTTTAAAGAAATAAGACTGACCACCTTAACCTGCATGGCACAATAAGCAACATTCAAATGGTGGCCCGTAAAGTTCTTCCGGCACCAGTTATAGTTGCGGTTGTAACAGAAAAAGTTGTATTTTTTACCAAAAGAGATGCTTTTTTCTACTGGCCTGTCTCGAGTTACACTTACTATTTAGTCACAATCAGAAACGAGAAATGAAAAGGTCACACTCACCATCAACCGATGAATGTAAACGGGCTCCAGTGATGCATAAAGCTGCTGAAGGTTGGCCGGCAGAGGCGGTACAATGGCCGACGTCGCCGACGCCAACGTGAATGGGGGTACGCGCCCTAAATTGAGATATTCGTCCAGTTTTTGTTTCTTGAGCGGCAGTTGGTCGGAGGACGAGGACGCCGCGTTGGCGGCAACGTGGTGATCCTTGACGATGTCGGATGCGGAAATCTGAAAGAAAAAATGTGGTTTCTAACGAGGCGCGACAAACTACAAAAATAAACACACATTAGTGTAGAAACGGACCAATAACTCAAACAAAGTTTATATCATTTTTTATGACAATTAATATATCATCATTAATATGGCACGTGCTTAAACACAAAGACCAAGATTATGATCATTAGCAAAAATCCAAACACCAAAGCTGATCTGCAAGTGAAAAACACTATGCTCGAAAAAGTAGAAACATTTCCGTATCTTGGTTGCAGCTTGAACGAGAGTTGGGATTATTCTCGAGAAATTATTACTAATCTAAACCTTGGTCTCCAATTATGGCTACGATCACTCAAATGTTACTTGTTCTCTGTAATGCTCTAAGTCTATGGTGTGGAGGCCTGGACTCTTACAGCAGCTGCAGAGAGATTTGAGATCTGGTGATATGGCACGTCTCATGGACACGCCGTGTAACTAACGACACCATCTTGCAAAGAATGAATAAAAATAAAGAGCTCTTAAAGAGGATCGAGGCGAGAAAACTAGAAGGTTAGTTACACAAACTTAGGCAATGGACAGTAAAATCCTTTGTCAAACTGTTCAGGGCGGCAGTAGACACAGTTAGATGACCCAATATAATCACCAACGTCAACAGATGATAAGGCACTAAAAGAAGAACAAGAATATGTCAACATAGGTACCCGAAAATGATTTAATCTATTGTGAGGTGAGAGTTTAAGTAAATTTATTCAGTTAGTAATTTGATTAACTCTAATATAATTTTTCCCTGATAATTTGGTTCTTATATTTATTATCGCATAACACAGTGTTATATTAACAATATAATATTAACAATTAATCTGAAATATTAATAATTATTTAGTGCTGTACTTTTATGTGCGTTTAAATAAGAGTATATAACATTGAGGCCTTCATATCGAGGGTAAAGTCTGTTCATAGATATAAGAAAGTGACTAACTGATACGAATTAAGGAAAGACCCGGGCTTAGAATTTAATTATTTGGGGTTTTGTTAGGAAAGATAATAAATAATATTTATTTATTTATGTATGTATTTATGTCTAAATCTAAAATAAAATTACAAATTATTTTTATTACCTACTTAAATTAAAATTATTCACATAATATATCAGTATCACTATCGCTATAATTGCCTGTTCTAATTATTATTTGTTCTATATTATTTGCAATATAGATATACGATTGTTTTGCTTTTTCTACATGTTTAACAGAATTTGCCCAACTTTGTGGAGGGATGTTAAAAACTTCGGTTTCTATAAGTCTGAGGGCATTGGAGTTAACACGGGGAAAAAAATTGTTACGACGAATGGCAGATTTCAGTTGGTGCCAAAAATGTTCAATGGAATTAAATATACGGTGGTAAGGTCCTTAAGGGCCTTAAAACTGTATGCCCTAGATTTTTGGCATAACTATCACAGACGTATTCCTTTTGTAGATTCAAGCTTTGTAGAACCTCAATTCATTGCTTTTTGGTATAACTTTCGTGGAAATAAATGTCGTTATTATACATGTAGTTTTGGATTTTTGCATTTGTGTCACATGAAGAAGGGGTTTTAGGCAACTGTCTACTGTGATAACTTGCATTATCCATTACAATGACGCTATCAGGAGAAATGTTTGGAACTAGTTTGTTTTTAAACGAACAAATAAATCAGTGGTGGTGTCTTCATGGTAATTTAGAGAAGAATCTTTAATATTTTTCGCAGACAAAGAAAGTAAATTCCGAATCCAACCATCTTTAGAGCCAGCATGCAAAATAGTTATTCTTTTACCTCTTTTTGATGGCGCGTTTGTTTTACCTTTATCAGTTGAGTCAACCCAACCCTTTTCCGGGGTATCATAAATGTTGAACCAGGTTTCATACAAGTAAATAATTGGCCTTTGTTGTTCTCTGTAAATCCTAATTTTTTCTGGATATTCCAGTCGCCATTTCCGAATTCTAAAAGATTCCATTAAAACTTGGCTCGTCGATTAATTAGGCCGAATAAAATTCATTTAAAAGTCACCCGTACGTTTGATATGGCCGATATTAAAAATCTACAATTTTCGCCACTGCAGCAGAACTTCGAATTAATGACCAAACCAACTTTCGGTACATTTTTAAAAGTAAAATTGCATTTTCGATTTTGGGTAGGAAAATGAGATTATTAAATGAGAAAATATAAGCAGAGAATTGAAAGGATTAGAAATTTACACAAAATTTAATAAATATGAATTATACATTATGCAACAAAAATGTATGTCAGAGAACAAAAAATTAAAATAGAAACGGGGACAGGTGGCTGGTGGCTTAAACTTCTCGGACATATTAAAATATTGCACAAGACTGGATTAAATGGACAGCATAGCTACTGAAACAAACCAGTGCTTCTAAAATGCCAGACGATCTTCGCCAGGTCGCGGTCCATTCGGAAAAATATATAATAATAAAAATAAGGAATAAATAATAATACGCCTATGCCGATAACACAAAAACTTATGTAGCGGAGCGACTATAACAAAAATAGAGAAGCTTAAATTCAACATGCGCATGTACGAGATTTATAATTTCGCTTTTAACCAATGACCTTATGGTATTAAGCAACCAACATGGCCGCTGACAGTAAGTAAGTTTGGATGCAGCATTTCTTCTGGGTTCTAGGACAACGACTTAAGTGTGTGGAAATCGCTGTTTGGAAATAAAATATCACAAAGTGCAAGTGGAAAATCGTAACCTGCGGCGCATCATTTTTTACCGTAGTAAGGTCACAATTTTATCTAATAACGACATAGAGTTCCCCCACGAGTCTACAATATTACGAGTTACAGAATTGTAACTGTCTAGACTACACCGACAAATAATACGAGTTGAAAATAAATTTTCCTATAACAAAGAAAACATGAGAAAGCACAAACCACTCAGAAAAGGGCGTCGAAATAGATTAGGGCGATTTTTTGTAATGTGACATTAGACAAGAGCTGAAAACTTAATTAAAATAAAACACCATGAAATCATTTGTGGGCCAATTCCAATCACTCATCCTTTTTACCCTCTGGTGTATTTAGTGTAACATGGACAGCAAACAGGGCCACAAATTGATTTTTTTTTTTAATTTTGTATCATGTATTTTGGGAATATTATTTGATCGGAGTAGAATGCCTGGAAATTGCAGCTGCTTTACAGAATGGTTAGGAGCCAATGACTTTTTCGAGGAACGTAGATCCCAGAAAACAGACGGGATCTTTATAACAAAAAGAAAACTCTAAGAGTGATGGGGTGAAATTTTCAAAACTCAAACTCTGCCTGCCTCCATTAAAGCGCTTTACAGCGGTCTTGTTTTGGTTTTGGATTTAGCTCACTTTAAGGAGAGCCAACGTTAAAACTAAAATTTTAACCAGGGTTATTTAGTAAAATGTCTTAAATGTGATATCGTAATTTGCAAATTTTAGTGAGGTTATTTCTTCTTGTTTCTATACACTTAATGCAATGACGTATCCACTGTATAATTGACGCAACAATTGTTGGAGATCCACACACTTCAAAAAAGATATCGTTCAACTGTTTCGAAGACGTACAATAACTTACGCGTTTATTATTATTCTTTAGTCACAACTTATCTTCATTATTATTATTATTACTAATACCCAAAAATCCCATACATCCTCGTAGTAGATAGCTCGTTGTTAATAACCGTAACAGTTCACAGCTCGAGCCCCCCACAAGGAGTGCCGAGACAATTTTTCCTCGCCTTTCGGGGGGTGTGGAAAATATTTTTAATTTACGATTATCGTCGGGCGGGCGAAACAGAGAGAATGCGAGGGAAACGAAGGCGGCGACGAAAGAACAGAGGGGTAAATGCGAGTCGGATGGGGGGAAACCTATGAAGCAGACATCGAAATTGAGATTTAAGGGGTTCCGTATTTGAAAAGTGTTCACGGCGACGAGCAGCGGGCTCGACGAAGATTGTTTTTTTTTTAGTTTTTAGATTATGGCCCGGAATAAATTAATTTGACGATTTCGACGGGGGAACGAAAAACGCAAATGTTGGTCGTGAAAATAAATTAGGTATTAAACTCATTTGGTTAAACGCCTTTCTCCGTTTTCAGTAACATGCGAGATTTTTCAGCTATACGAGGCGTGTTCGACAAGGAAGGTGACTTTTGTAATGGTCGGGCTACCTACAATCGATCTGAGTTTTTTTTATGTTGGTATACATGTCCCTGACATATGTTCAAAGTTTCAGCCAATTCGCACGTTTATTTTTTTTTATCAGACTGAAGCGTTAGACGTGACGGCGATTTTCTGCTGTCAAAAAGAAAATGGAACAAACAATTTGCATCAAATTTTGCGTAAAAAATGAAATACAGTGCTGCAAAACACTTGAAATGTTGACAACGGCAAATGGTGAACCTACTTTGAGCAAAAAAAATGTTGTGCAAGCTAGTCCAAGATGGTCGAGAAGACGCGGACGACGATCCTCGCTCTGGATGCCCCAGTACATCAACAACTAATGAAAGCGTTGAAGAAGTGAAACAAATAATGTTGAAAATCGTCAAATTACTATTAGAGAAGTGGCTGAAGACTTCGACATCTCTATTGACTCGTGCCATGCAATTTTTTCCGAAGTTTTGAGCATGAGACGTGCTGCTTAATTTTGAACAAAACGACTCAAGAGCTGTTAAGCGACGTCAATAATGATCCTGATATGCTCAGAAAGGTCATAACTGGTGACGAATCGTGAGTATATGGTTATGACATGGAAACCAAAACCTAGTCGTCCGAATGGAAGAAGGCAGAATCGCCAAGACCGAAAAAATCAATCAAATATAACGTTTTTGCTTACCGTTTTCTTTGATTAGCGTGGCGTAATACTTCTGGAGTTCTTTCCACGTACGGTCAATACAGAGTTGAAGTTGGAACGTCCGGAAATGTGTGATTTTGCATCACGATAAGCAATACGTTGCTTTTGCCTAACTTTTTGTGCAAAAACAAAA